TTAAGGTGCTGGTATTGACCTTTAAAGCCCTATACGGCCTAGGACCTTCGTACCTACAGGACCGCCTCTCCTGGTATGTCCCACGGAGGACCTTACGGTCTTCAAACAAAAACATCGTGGAGGGCCCAGGCCACAGGGAGGTTAGGCTGGCCTCAACCAGAGCCAGGGTTTTTTCGGCCGTGGCCCCAATCAGGTGGAACGCTCTGTCACAAGAGACCAGGGCCCTGCGGGACTTGACATCTTTCCGCAGGGCCTGCAAGACAGAGCTGTTCCACCAGGCCTTTGGCCAAGGCACAGCCTGACCCCCTCCTTCAGTAATCCTTATAGAACTCTAGCCCAATGGTTGCCATTAATTTGATTCTGAGTTGATTTTAGAGTGCTGTATTACTTTTACTGTTGTTAGCCGCCCTGAGCCTGGCTTCGGCTGGGGAGAGCGGGATATAAATAAAATATTATTATTATTATTATTATTATTATTATTATTATTATTATTACCTACTTAATTGTGATGCCTGCATTGCAAGGGGGTTAGGCTAGATGACCTTTGGGGATCCCTTCCAATTTTACAACTCAATTATTCAATACCTTCATCTCTCTCCCCCCCCCCCCAATGCCTTGCAAGAAAAGGCAAAAGGAGCTTAAGGAGCTTGAACTGTCCCAGAATTCAGACCTTTTTTCCGGGGAGGCGGGAGGTGTTGGATTAGAGTTCCCCAGTGACATCATATTTTTCAAGCAGAGAAGGGAAAGCCCTGCCCTTCTATCCCCCCCCCCCAGGCCTTTGGTCATTGGGCTCTCTGAGAGGTCTCAGCTCTGCGCCCTTCCCTGCAATTGAAGCGTGGCCTCTAAGCTAAGGCACAGCCCTGGCAAGGTTTTGCAAATCAGGCCCATGAACAAAGCAGATATTCAAACAACGGCAGCCGGGAACGGATGGGGTACCTGAAGCAGAGAAGATATTCTCCCGGCCTTCCCTGGCTCTGTGTTATGGGGGTGGGGGACAGGAAACAGGGGGCAAGAGTGGGGAAGCAAACCCAAGGAACCCCCTCAACGCATCAACGGCGCCTGGTTGGGTGTGTTCATTCTGCTGCACCAAGTGGGACAAGGGCAAGTCACGTGGAGGCAGCCCTGTGCCAGCTCCACAGCAGGCTGTGCCAACGGCCAAGGGCGCCATTTTTCCTGTGCTGGAGCCAACGAGGCCGGGCAAGGGCGTGAGGCAGCTCCGGAGCAGCAGAAACTCCCCGCTGGCTTGTGCCTGGGGCAGTTCGCTGTAGGAGGCATGCAAGCTGCCGCTGCAGCAACAACCTCCGGGAAGAGAGGACAGAGCAAAGAGTCAGTTGCAAGAGGACCAGAGACGAGATGGGTGGAAGTGGCTTCACTTCCACCACCTTCCGTCTCGAGGATTGCAGGGGGTTGGACTAGATGACCTTTGGGGATCCCAGCTCCACGATTCTGTGGTTCTAGGACTGGGAGCCTAAGCGCAACCTTTTCCCAGGCCACTGGAGGAAGACAAGTTTACAGGTGCCAAGCCTCCCCATCTACTAAATTTGGCTCACAGGAACTAAGGGAGAGAAGGATGCAGACCACTGGCCAGGCAATAGGAACCACTGGTCCTTCATGCTCCTGAGTGCCAACTCTGGCCGGCAGCAGCTCTCCAGGGTTCCAGGCAGGCCTCCTGCAAGATGCCCTCGGGGCTCGAACCTACAACCTTCTGCATCAAAAGCAGGTGCTCAGCCACAGAGCTAAGGCCCTTCCTTCCGAGGCGTCTCCTGCCCCAGCTCCCCACTCCCATTCTGGCCCTCGGCCAGCTGCATTTCCACGCCACCTCCTGGCGGAAACAGTTCTACTGCAGAGGTGCCTTGGGGCTTTAGCCAATGCTAGTCCTACTCAGAGCAGATCCACTGACATAATAACTCCAGTCCATTTCAGTGTATCTGCTCTCCATATACTGTAGATTCCGGCATATAAGATGACATTTTAACCCTGGAAAATCCTTTAAAGTCGGGGGTCTTCTTATACGCCGGGTATGGGTTCACTGGGCAGCAGCAGTGGGTTGGCGGGCTCCAGGCTGGGAGGAAGCCGCCCAGTGAAGCTGCCACATATAACTGGCAGCTGCCAATTTGAGGGGTCGTCTTATACGCCCTTTCGCCCAATACGCCAGAATCTATGGTATATAACTTTTTTAAAAATGCAAATAATACCTAGAAGGGTTTCCTGCAGCCCTGTCTGCCAGGCATTAAACCCGTGGCCCTTCTTCCCCAGCCGCGGACCAGCCAGCTGTTTTGGACTACAATTCCCATCAGCCCCTGCCAGCTCAGCCATGCCCCCCATAAGCCCTAGCACTGTATGCCTGTGCTGACTGGGAGTTGTAGTCCAGCCCCCCTGGAGAGCACCAGGAGACAAAGGACCTAGGTGCAACCAGTACATTATGGGGTGGTTGTGGATGTACTTCTTGGTGTGCAGAAAGTGGGGAGAAAGGACCTATGGGTCCCTGTTGGGCATGCATTTGCAGAAGCTGCCAACTCAAGGTACCGAGACCCTCCCTCCCTCCTCTGCCCCCCCCCCCCCGTCCCTGGGGTCTAAATCTTGGATCTCCCCCTACCTGGCTACACAGGCAGGCCTGAGAGAGCTACATGGCGCTGGGGTTTTGCTGCCGGCGTCTGTGGGAGCAGGACAGTGTCTGCTGCATGGAGTCAGCGAGGCTGGACGGAGACCCGGAGACGCTAGGGAAATGGGTGAGCCGTGGGGTATGGGGCAAGATTTCGGCGGAGGATTCGTAGCTGCAGGGAGAGAGACACAGACAGGGCAGAGAGGAGGAGAGAGAGAGAAAGGGAAAGGCTTAGGAAGGACGGCAGGGAGAGCGGCTGCAAAGAGGGAGATGGCACAGAGACGCAGCTTTCCCCCCGCCTCACCTGGCTCTACTGCCAGGGCCAGCATGGCCGGGCGACAGATGGAGAACCACCCAACAGAACAGCCCCAGCCCCCCACTCTTCCACCACCGTTGCTGCTATCCATCTGTCCTGACAGACAATGGAGTGCACCTCCAGGGGTGAAGTCAAACCACTGTGTTGGCAAATCCCCAGGGTGCAAGCCTGGGCAGTGCGGATGGAAGTCCTGGGCTGCCCAGATGAAAAGGCCCCCCTCTCAGCCTCGCTAATACGGCCCAAAGGAAAGCAGAACGAGACATTTGGCCCCAGCTTGGCTGCAGGGATTGCAGGTGATACAGGTTACACAGAAAGGGGGAGGATGTTAGGATACTGATATTCCGTTCCACCTTAAAACAGATGTGTGGATTGTTGTTATGTCACATGCCTGTTTACACTCCAGCACAGCTTGCTGGGACCTTCCCGTTTGTGTATAGCTATTGCTTTTGCTGCTTGCTCTTGGAGAATACATGTTTGTGAATAAACTGCCTATAAATATGTTCTCACAGCCGTCTCCTGCCACTTCTGTTTGAGCAGTGTTATTTACTCTGCTGATTAGAGCTGTGCTCCAGCTTCTGAAGCTGTGGATTGCTGTTTCATGCTGAGCCAAGGACTGGAGATCGCCCGGCTACCAGCCAGGGGGCTGGAGCCAGCTGGGGGCTTGCAAATTGCCCCCGTTCCCTTGGAAGCACCCCAACAGCAGACAAGGCGCCACCCAGCCACCTTAGGGATTCCACTTGTGTAGGCTTTGCTTCTTAACCTTTTATTCCCCCTCTAAATGTCCCACAATGCAGCAGAAGTTGAGGACCAGAGTTTTCCTTCTCCTAGATGGGCTACCTTGCCAGGTGGACGAGCCCTTTCTGCCCCTACTGTTGTAACCCTCCTGTCCCAAACAAAAGGAGGAACGGAAGGAAGGAAGGAGAAGATGCCAGCAACCTGCTTGGCTCAGGAGCTCCCTGTCTGGGAAGCAAACCAGGCAGTGGGAGAGACGAGGAGGAAGAGGAAGATGAGGAGCGCCAGGCTCAAGTGGTGAAGATGCAGGGAAGGAGGCCGGGTTGAGGGGAGGGTGTCTTGCCTGAGGGCCCTCCAAACCTTGCAGCTGGCACTGCTCCACGGCTGCCCAGGTGAGAAAAGGTCAGAGTGGCGAGGGCAAGGAGCCCAGGACCAAAGGCGGGACGTGGCAGCCTTGCTCTGAAAGCAGCCGAGCCACGAAGCAAAGGTATTCTGAACCCTCAACGAGATGCTGTCCAGGTCTTTGTGACCACAGGTCCCTGTTTCTAAGAAACACTTTCATCCCGTCCAAACTTCTCTCTTCAAGGAAGCTCAAAATTCACTGGAAAACAGGTTGAAAGCAATTCTGTGCAGACCTGCCCCGCTATGTACAAATGTGCCCTGCGCTTCTGAGAAACACTTTGGCTTGGGTTTTTCTGTCCGATGGCGAAAGGCAAAGGCCAGCCCTGAAGTGTCCCTTGTGCCTCGGACACGCAGAGCTGGCAGGGACCAGCAGCCCGAGCCACCGTATTTTTCGCTCTATAAGACGCACCCAGTTTTTAGAGGAGGAAAACAAAGAAAGCAACGCAAAGCCTCTTGAGTGAAGAGGCAGGAGCACTCTGGCTGCGCTCAAGAGGCTTTGCGTGGCTTCAGCGATAGCTGCGCGGCCTGCATTCGCTCCATAAGACGCATACACATTTCCCCTTACTTTTTAGGAGGGGAAAAGTGCATCTTATGTAGCAAAAAATACGGTAAATTGTTCAGACAGTTGATGCAAGTTTTAATCTGTTTTCAGCCTATTGCTGTTCTAACGCTTTGAGCAACTTATTGTTGCTCATTTTTCTTCTGGGTGATTTTCCTTTTGGTAGACCTCTTTGACGGCGTGTGTGTTTTAACAATCAAGCGGTATATAGATTCTATGAAACAAAGTAAATAAATGGCTTAGTGGGTGATCTCCCAGGTATAAACACCACCAGTTCATCGAGGCCCTGCAGGGCAAGATATCAGGCAGGACCCCAAATTCCTGCCACTGAAACCCTCCCCGCTTGCCCCAGCCTTTCATTCAAAGCGACACAGGCAAAAAACCCAACAACGGCACAGAAGAAATCCTCCAGGAATGGCTTGATCAGAAGAAAGGCCCCCCTGGGGACTGGCGGGGGCAGGTACCCTCTTCACAGCTTGCCCGGGGTGAAGGTCAGGGTGCCCCGAGAGGTGCGAGGCCAGCTGCTGTGCCACATCAGACCTGTCGGCACCCCCAGGAACCGGCTGCTCATCAAAGCCACCTGGAAGAGGGCCGAGGGAGGCCACACGACACCTGCCGGGATTCCTGGGGTGGGGGCCCTTCCGCTCATCACTCTCATCACCAGTTCCTCTTCCTTCCCACCCCCCTTCAAACCCCACAGCGCTTCCAAGGAGGTGGGGTGGGGAGAAGAACTCAAGGACTGGCACAGAACCACACAGCTGCTTTTCCACATCCGCAGATTTCGCTGCCAGCCATGCAGGGACCCCAGAGGCGCTCAGACCCCTTTGTGAACCTGATATGGAAATGGGGAGCCTGACCCACTTGCTCATCCCCCAGTTGTTGTTTGGGGGGAATACCCCTAAATTGCAGCAGACCCAGGGATTTGAATATTTATTTGTGGGAGGCTGGCTGCCCATCACAGAGGGACCCTGATTCTAGGTGGCCCTGACTCAGAGAATGTTTCTTGGCTTGTCGTCTTACCCTGAACCCAGCATGTTTGAAAGCTAGCTGAAGTTTAAGGGGGAGGATTTTCTGCACATGTTCAGAGGCACTCCTCTGTATTTCAACAAGGCTGGATCTAACAAGGCCCTCTGTTGTAACCTCCCCAACACTCAGGCCGTCAGTGACAAGTTTTGCTACCCCGCGGGCAGTGTCTGCACAACGGCTTCACTGCGGAGGAGCAAAATAGAAACCAGGAGGCTTAGTTTGGTCAGAATCGAGTAAACACTTCCAGATTTAACGCTAAATGCATTACCGTATTTTTCGCTCTATAGGATGCACTTTTTCCCCTCCAAAAATGAAGGGGAAATGTGTGTGCGTCCTATGGAGCGAATGCAGGCTTTCCCGGGCTTCCTGCAGCTCCGCGCCACCCTCCCGATCCCAGCGCGAAGCCGCGCGGGGCTCCGGAGAGTAGCGCAGAGCTGCCTGCATTCCGAAGCCTGGTGCTCACTGAAGAGCGCACCCGGGCTTCGTGCACCTCTCCACAAGCCTGGGGAGACCGGCTCGGTTCCCTAGGCTTGCGGATAGCAGGCTGTTCTGGGGGCTGGGGTCGGGGGAAGCTCGGGCTTCCCCCGCGCCTGCCCCGTGCCTGGGGAGGGAATTTCTTTTTCTTTATTTCCCCCCCCCCAAAAAAAATTAGGTACCTTGAACGCACCTTGTTTTAGAGGGAGAGAACAAGAAAAAAAATTTCCCTGTTCTCCCCCTCCTATGATCCGGTGCGTCCTATGGAGCGAAAAATATGGTACTTCTGGTAAACAAGCCACCATAGCTGCTAGAGAGCCGTGAAAATTTGTGTCCAGGGCTTTTTAGACTCGTCATGAACTATCTGGAACCAAAGAGGCGCATTGGTTGCCAGATGAGAAATAGATTGGTATTACTGTCAGCTCTCCTCTTAGCTCAAGGCTGCAGCTTCCTGCCCCTTGGGGTTTTATCCTCCTCCCATTCTGCTGAGCTGGGGAACAAGGAGCAGCGCCATGCAGGCCAGGCAGGCAGAGCCACAAGCCCCCCACTTCCTGCCCAGAAGAATCACAAACCACAGGTGCCTTGGCCACTCCTGGCATCCATGCCACTCTCAAAATGCTTTAACTGAGCACAGGAGTTTGCTTATGCTGCCGCAGATATTTTGGTCCACCCCCCCTTGGATTTCACCTTTGGGGCATCTGTTTGGCCACTGTGAGAAGAGGATGCTGGACTAGATGGGCCACTCACTGGCCATGACCCAGCGGGTGCTTCTCGTGTTCTTAATGGTCATGCTGGCTGATGGGAACTGTAGTCCAAAAGACCCGGAGGGCACAAGGCTGGCAAAGGCCAATTCACTGACTCATGGCAGATGAAAACGCTGATAACCAGCAGATGGGATGAGGACAGAGTGTCTCCAGTGTGGCACTGGTGGCGTTCAGCTTTCTGGCTCGACCCAAACGCTGGCTGGACCCATCCCCACCTGTACCTTTTAATGTTGTATTTTAATCTTGTTTTTTAAGTTGTATTTCAATCAACTTGTTTTTATTATTGGTTGTTAGCTGCCCTGAGCCCAGTCTCGGCTGGGGAGAGCGGGGTATAAATAAATAAAAAAATTATTATTATTATTATTAATTATTATTATTATTATTATTACCTCCTTTCAGAAGCCTACTTCACACTCTGAAGGCTGTCGGAAGGAAACAGGAGCTGACTCAGCTGTGCCCCATTCCCCGCAGAGTCCCCCAACCCGGCTGGATCTGCCTGGGCAGAATCGCAACTGGCGTGTGGCCGCAAAGCATCTCTTACCTGAACATCTCTGCCACTTCTCCCTTCACCAGAGCCACCAGGAGAGGGAAGCCGATGCAGGCCGGGACCAGGTAGAGCAGGGCAGGCTGAGAGGGGAAATCAAGGGGGGTGGGAAGCGTTAGAAGGGAGAGAGGGGGCTGGAAACGAGGTTCGGGAGACAGAAACGGGCTGGGCCAAAATAGGGCACGGAGTGGAACTATAGGGGCACAGCGTTAGTGTGGAGGGCCAGGCTTGATGCACCAAAAGTCCGTTCACCGTTTCACACTGACAAGTCTAAGGAAGTTGGAAGGTCAAGGGTAGAATTACAAATTGACCACAGGGATTGCAGGGGTGGGGTCAGAGTTGCCAAGCCAAAGGCACCAAGTGGTTTAAGTGTCAAAGGCAGACTCCTGAGCTGGGCCTAAAGCAACCCTTCCTCCAGATACAGTCATGCCTCATGTTACATTTGCTTCCGGTTGCGCGTTTTCGGGTTGCGTCCCGCAGCGATCCGGAATTAACGGAACAGGTTACTTCCAGGTTTCGCCGCTCGCGCATGCGCAGACACGCAAAATGATGTCATGCGCATGTGCAGAAGTGGCGAATTGCGACCCGCAGGTTGCATTCTGTTCAGGTTGCGAACGGGCCTCCTGAACGGATCCCGTTTGCAACCAGAGGTACCACTGTACTTGGGACATCAATTCCCACCAGTCCTGGCTGGGTTGGTGGGAGTCCAGCCTCACCCGGAGGCCCCAGGTTGGTCTGACCTAGGAAGCTAGAGCTCAGGCCTCACGCTAGTGCAACAGGCCATGGGAGATCACTGGCCTCTGGGGTCAGGGAAGCCGCTCTTCTCAAAACACTCGCCTTATCTGTAAAACAGATCTGGGTGAAGCTTCCAACTAAACATCAGGAAAAAAATTTGGATGGTAGGAGCCGTTTGACAAGGGAACGGACTACCTCAAAAGGTGGTGGGCTCTCCTTCACTGGAGGTCTTTAAGCAGAGGTTGGATGGCCACCTGTCCTGGATGCTTTGGCTGAGATTCCTGCATTGCAGGGGTTTGGACTAGATGACCCTTGGTGTCCCTTCCAAATCTGCAATTCTACGTTTCTGTGAAGCAGATCTCAGCTAGCACCAGGGAACTTTCCAATGCAGTGCTCTTTGAGGGAACCAAGATTTGAATCAACCTCCGTCATTACTGGCCTGGCTGGTAGAGGGTTTTTGGCTGAAGGGAGATCGCCATTTGCCTTCCCCCCTCAGGCAATGAAACCCAGAAGAGGGTCACCTTCCATGAACCCTTAAAGCCGGGAGCCCTCTTAAAAAGAATACCCAACAAGCCAGCTAGGACTGGGGCAGCCGTCTCTCTTTCTGGCCAGCTGGGTCACTGGTGAGATGCCCAGAGGCAAGCCTTCGCTGCTGTGTGGGGCTGTTTGCTTAGAAACTGTGATGTCTGCACTTTTTACATGGGAGAAGCTGTGTGTCCCAGCAGGACACCTAGCTATCGTGATGCTAGTGGGCTGCTGGAACAGTGCCAAACTCCTCATTTCTCATCTGCCCCCTCCCCTTTTCCATCTCCAATTCAAAGAACTTCCTGCTTTCCCAGAAGAGGCAACCGGCCGTTGCAAGCAGGTAGGTGGCCTTATGACGCAGGTAAAGGCGGCTCACCTGGGCGTGTTTGAAGATGTGCATGATGAAGATGGTGAGGCCCAGCCCAAAAATATAAGCCACGAAACTGGTGTAGAAGTACGTGTGCGTGTTCCTCTTGAGGCTGAGTCAGGGAAGGAAGCAGAAATGGGCGTTATGGTGATCCGGGGCAGGAAAAGCTTCCCTAACAGCCCACCCAAAGCCATGAACAGGTGAGAAAAATGTCTCAAAGAAGCAGAGAGATACCATCAGGCCACAAAGGCATGACCAGAGAAAACCTGCTGGGCCCTTGTTCCCCAACCCACCTTACCCTCCAACAACAGCCACTCTTGCTCTCAACTGGAATGTTTTCCAAGAGCAGACTGTCACAAAAAGGGCATCACTCAGCAATACAGGATTGCCAGAGGTGGTCTTTCCCACATTCAAGGGGGGGCGGGGTGCAGGGGGCTTACCTGATGTCAAAGCGCAGCAGCAAAGCAATGAAGATTCCTGGTTCGGGTTGGGAGAAGAGAGAGAGAGAGGAAGGGTCGTGGTTAGGGCTACAGGGAGGAGGCTGTGCCAGGCACCCACCCACTCAGCCACGCTGCCCTTCTCAAGACTCCCTGCTCCTAATATGGTCCATGAGGCCGCAGCACCCCCTTGTGGCTGAAAGCAATATCGAGGCGACTCACTGTGACCTCTGGCAGGGATAGACAACAGGTCATACAGCTCTTAGGAAGAGGTCTAATGGATCAGGTCCATGGCTCATCTACTCCAACATCCTATGCCACACTGCAGCCAACCAGATGCCTTCAGGGAAACCCTCAAGTAGAATACAAGCACAAGAGCACCCTCCCCTCTTGTAAAGGTAAAGGGACCCCTGACCATTAGGTCCAGTCGTGGCCGACTCTGGGGTTGCGGCGCTCATCTCGCTTTATTGGCCCAGGGAGCCGGCATACAGCTTCCGGGTCACGTGGCCAGGATGACTAAGCCGCTTCTGGCGAACCAGAGCAGCGCACGGAAACGCCGTTTACCTTCCCGCCAGAGTGGTACCTATTTATCTACTTGCACTTTGAGGAGCTTTTGAACTGCTAGGTTGGCAGGAGCAGGGACTGAGCAATAGGAGCTCACCCCATCATAGGGATTTGAACCGCTGACCTTCTGATCGGCAAGCCCTAGGCTCTGTGGTTTAACCCACAGCGCCACCCGCGTCCCGTCTCCCCTCTTGTAGTTTCTGGCAACTGGGGAAAAGGCTGTGTTTTAGCAGAGGCTGGAATGAAAACTTTCGACAGGATAACTCACTTGCCAATCTGGTGTCAAAACAGGGCCAGGTGATTGGCAGGTGGATTATCCCCTCCCACCTCCAGGGAACTGGCCTATGGCCTGCCCCCCACCCTGCCCTGGGCCAAAAAGAGTTCCCCACCCATGCGCTATGGAATGTGGGACGACCAATTAACTTTCTAGCTCCACTCCTATTTCTCCGCTAAGCCTCCTTCCCTTTCTCCAGGAGTGCAGAAGCTGCCTCCTTCTTTCCAGCCGATAACCAAGAGCAGCAAGTGAGAGCCAGAGGGGCTGTTCCATTGTACTGAACCGCCGCATAGTCACACACTCCCCGACCCCCTTACCTGGGATGACAATGTCCCCCAGGCCTAGCATGGCAAAGTTGTCGGCCTCCAAGCCTTTCTCTAGAAGATCTTGGGGGAAAACCACTGGGAGAGAGGAAAGAGGGGAGAAGCAAGTTCAGTCCATGGCAGGAGACAGAGAGAGAGTCCAAGTTTGTCATTCAAAGACTACAGCAGGTTTGCTTTAAACACACACCGGTAAAAAGGCGAAAGATTTATATGATCTGAAGAAAAACTGAGAACTATTATAACTTAGAATATCTAACTGTGAAGATTCACAAAATGAAAGGGTTTAAGGTCAGTGAGGAGGAGGAGGAGGAGGGTTGGTTTGAGAAGATATTGAATTATTTAGGCAGGTATGAACAATTTGGGGCAATTAAAATGTTAAAAGTTAAATAAACCTTGTGGAGGGAGGAGCGCTAATGTATATAGAATTGTACATATGGTTGATTTGAATATGTTATTATTGATTATGTATACCCAATGTATCAGTCGCCTGGGGGGGTTTGACTGTGTTTTGGTTGTTGGTAAAAAAAATGAAAAATTAATTTAAATTGAAAAAAATTAAAGACACACTGGTGTCTCTCCCAGTGCAGGAGGTCCCGAGCTTCAAGGAGATTAGACTGGCCTCGACCAGAGCCAGGGCCTTTTCGGCACTGGCCCCAGCCTGGTGGAACGCTCTGTCGCAAGAGACCAGGGCCCTGCGGGATTTGGCATCTTTCCACAGGGCCTGCAGGACGGAGCTGTTCTGACAGGCCTTTGGTCGGGGCCCAGTCTGACCCACCCCCTCTTTTTTTGTTATAGCACCCAGTATGTAAGTGGCCTCCCTAACCCTTTCCACCAACCAGTTCATATAAGATCAGCACAAACAGTTGGGCCTGGTGAGCACTCAATGCTCCCATCCCCTATAGTTATAATCTGTGGGTTGCAGTCTTATTTTATTCTGCTCCAAATTTGATTTTAGTATTTATTTTAATCAATTGTTTATGTTTTTAAGGTATCATACTTTGATGTTAGCCGCCATGAGCCTGATCCTGGCCAGGGAGGGCGGGGTATAAATAAAATTTATTATTATTATTATTATTCCTAAGGTTGGGTAGGATGGGATTGTGAGCACCCAAAGCAGCCAGTGGCCCTAGAGCAAGAGCTGAAGGAATGAGCTCTATCTTTTCTTGCTGGGCTAATACTGCTCAGAGGAAGGGGTGGACCAGATCCCACCACCAAACATTTGACAGGGGGGCGGGGCTGCCCAGCAGTCACCTGACACCAAAGTGAACCTACTCCAAAGCCACAGCAGTGAGCCTATACCTGCCTCTCACCTGAGGTCAGGGCTGGGGCAGCAAGGAGTGGTTTTGAGGGAACTGGCACCGCAGGCCAGTTCAGGACCTCTGTTGGGTTGAATTAGCCCCTCGGGATGGAGGTTTTGCATACCCTGCTCTACAAGAAACGCTTTCTCTGTTGCTCAAGCTGCAGCGTCGCTCAGTTAGCCACCGCTCCTGCCACCAAAGGTTTCAAAAACCAAGTACTCACATTTTATGGGTGCCTCAAAGGACTTTGCAACCGTCACCATAACGTTGGTGCCAAAGACCTAGGGAAGAGAGAAGAATGGTGAGAAGGATGATGACTGCAGCTTAAGCATTCACACCATGGCAGCCACCCAATGGAGACCAGGCCTTCCTTAGGAGAATAACTGTCAGAAGATTCATAAGGAATCCTCTCTGTTAACTTTCAGGCATCTCTTGAAGACTTTTCCATGCTGAAAGGCCTAGGAAATTGTTCAGTGTTGAGCAGCTGGTTACTTTAATGATTATGCTTTACTGATTTTAACATTTTCAAGACAGTATTTTCATACTGCTGTACACAGTATTTTATGGTGCACAGCAACGTTATAGAGCGTCCAACGAAGGCTTGGCAGAGACCAGGGTTCGAATCCCTACTTGGTCATGAAGCTCACCGGGTGCGACCCTGGAGCAGTCACCGCCTCTCGACCTAGCCTAACTCGCAAGATTGTTGTAGGGATTAAAGGAGGGGGAGAACCACATGTGTCACCTTGAGCTCCTTGGAGGAAAAGGCTGAATATGAATGCGATAAATAAATAAGACAGACTGGTAACACAAGAATGTAAGAAGCCACACGGTGGCATGAACTCGCTCTGCCATAGATCCCCAAGGAGGAGCCAGCGCAGTGTAATGGTTTGACAGGGACCAGGGTTCCAATCCCCACTCGGCCCTGAAGCCCAGCGGGTGACCCCGGGGTCCAGTCACCGCCTCCCAGCCTATCCTACCTCAAAGGGTTGTTTTGGAGATAAAACAGCGGGGAGGAAAACTATGAACCCCACACCTCAAGCTCCTTGCAGGAAAAGTGGGCTATAAATGCAGTAAGTAGAAATAAAGTATTTAGAGAAACCCTGAGAAACCAGCACTTGCTTACCCAGAAGACATCGTAGACGAAGAGACCCCCAAGGAGGATGCAGCCGGTGCTGACATTGTTCAAATGCAGCAGCTCCACCCCGTTGAGAGAGAAGGCCAGGCCAAAGAGGTTGTTGGCAATCCAGTGCTGGGAAAAGAGCAAGGAAGGTCAAAACCCAGGATATTATTATTATTATTATTATTATTATTATTATTAATATTATTAAATTTATATATACAGTGGTACCTCTGGATGCGAACGGGATCCGTTCCAGAGCCCCGTTCGCATCCTGAAGCATGCTTCTCCGCATGCGTGTGATGTTATTTTGAGCATCTGCGCATGTGGCAAAACCCGGAAGTAACGCGTTCTGTTACATCCGGGTCACTGCAGAGAGCAACCCGAAAACGCCCAACCTGAAGCAACTTTGGTATGACTGTATATTATAAATATAAATATTATATATATTTCTATACTGCAGTGGTACCTCGGGTTAAGAACTTAATTCGTTCCGGAGGTCTGTTCTTAACCTGAAACTGTTCTTAACCTGAAGCACCACTTTAGCTAATGGGGCCTCCCGCTGCTGCCGCGCCGCCGGAGCACGATTTTTGTTCTCTTCCTGAAGCAAAGTTCTTAACCCGAGGTAATATTTCTGGGTTAGTGGAGTCTGCAACCTGAAGCGTATACAACCCAAGGTAACACTGTAATTACTAAAATTACTATTATTATTAATTTATTTATGCCCCGCCTTATCCCCTGACAGGCACTCAAGGCGGCTTACAGATAAAAATAAAAAAGGTAAAATCAGAGGGGGGGAACCATCATTAAAAGCAATTAAACACTGCTAGGGTTAAATCTCTTCTCTCCCTCTCCCCTATCTATTAAAAACAAAAGAGATAATTACAATAAAAACAGCACCAGCGCAGCTCACCCCCTTGCCTCCCAACTCCCCCAGGCACACCCAGAATTTTAGGCAAACAGGAAAGTGGTGCCCAGGCTTTGCCAGGTGCTGGACGTACCTTTCTCAACAGGTACCAGACTCCAACGATGCTGCTCATGGCCAGGCACACGAGGTCCTTGGTGTCGAACTCGTAGTTGACAATCTCTGCAACAAAAGCCACCACGTCGTTTTCACCTCTATCAGCCTCTTTTAATACAAAGCAAGAGTAAGGGATAGGCAGCACCCAGGCACCCTGGCAAAGAGCTAAGAGAAGCGACGCTTGTTTTCGCACCTAGATTATGAGCTCACAAAGCTGACTTAAGCTAGACCGCTGACCCACCTAGACTGTTGAAGGTTTGCAGGCAGAGAGAGGCACAGAGAGAGGCAGAGAGGCAGAGAGAGAGAGAGAAAGAGAGATCTTATCCAGCCCCACTCTCCAAAATCCAGCGAATGGAAATGATGGATCTTGCAAATAATGCATGTTGCCACTGAACTATGGGCTGGGGGACGGGCCATAAGCTCTGCAAGCAGAAAGACCCACTTAAGAGAGGTTTTAGATATTCAGCTGATTCTCTGACTGTATGTAGTTGTTTTATCTTAGTTCTGATTTTTTTATTATTTAAAGCCCATCACTCCACAGGTGTTTGCTGCCTGTGTGGGCATAGAAACAGCAACAGTGGTGTGACGACTGGAAGACAAGGGTGCCTAGGACACTTGCCCGGTATATTGGCCATATTGAAAGAATTAGAAACTCCAGGGAGAGCCCACTAGCCAAAGCAGAAAACTGCAGGCAAGGCTACTGATGGCCTTCAAGTTGGGGAAAATCAGGAAGCAACAGGCAAGCCAGGGGAAATGTAGGATTTGCACAGGAAATGCTTCAGGCGGGAGTTCGAGCTGGCTGGCAGAGAGGGACTTACCTTCTTTACTTTCCCCAGAGCCCTGAGTGAAGAGAAGCTGGTACTGCTTGTTGGGAAAATTGACCGGGAAGAATTTGTTCATCACGGGGCTGAAATCAAGAGCAGAGAAGGGACAAGGTGACTCATGAAGAACCAAGAATTACTGTATTTTAATATTTTGTTGGAAGCCGCCCAGAGTGGCTGGGGAAGCCCAGTCAGATGGGTGGGGTATAAATAATAAATTATTATTATTATTATTATTAAGAGAGGAGGGCAGCGGGGTGTCACCCACTAAGTATTCCTGTCGGCCTCAAGTTTAGCTCAAAAGTCTTCAATGAGTGCTCGCCCCAGTCAAGTGCCTAATGCACACACATGCAGCAGAAACTGAGCCAAGCTTGTAAAGAGGCACACACAAAAACTGGCTCCAGGCAAGGAAGTCTTGCAAACCATGGTTTCCTTTTTCCCTTTAGGGACACATTTTATACTTGAACGAAGTGGGCTAATAACCTGTGTGAGGTTATTTGCAAGGCCTAAACCACCCTCTGCCATCGCCTTTAAGGACAGGTCAAATGACCCCCTCAGGGATGTCTTTATTCATGACGACAAAATACGGGAGGAGGTCATGTTTAAGAGCTGCTACCTGTATGAAGAGTTCCCAGCATCATCACCAGCCCCACGCTAAGAACCAGCTAAAAAGAGAGACTCAATATTAAGCTGACCCAGAGAGCTTCATTTTGAATTTGGTAAGAAACAGCCAATTTCAGCTGCACTGTGCATCTTTCATTTGAATCCTGATGGGGCCAGGTAGGAAGGGGGGGGGCAGGTATGAGGGGGGCCTTATTGCCCCCAAAGGCAGCTAAGGTTTTTGTGTGTGTTTTTTTTGTACTGAGATGCAGAGACCCTGGAATTGACCACCAGCAGCTCATTAAAAGTAGTGTTCAAAGAGTGGGTATGAACTCCTTTTTCAAGGCACAATTTGGCAAGGATTTTAGGAAGACTGAGCCATGCCATTATAGATGCCAACACCATCCTGCTTATTGGGTGTGGTGTTTTTGCAGAACAGTGACCGTTTCAGCAAAAATACAAAGCCAAGGATTTAAGCGGATCCCTTTGCCAAGGAAACATTTTGATTTGCCTCTTCACCCAGTGAATGGCACTGCAGACTGCTGACATTCATTGGCCAGGTGTGTTATTTTCCTGTCTCCCATGTCAGAGGGAAGTAGAACACCCTGAAAAGGGGACTCCCAGGAGACACTTGAAAAGCACTTCCTAGTTTTGCTTGCATGGCTTTTCCCTGCCTGGAATGCACCCTTTAACTCTGATAATGCCCCTTGCCAGCCGGGATGGAGGACAGAAAGGCAGCAGAAACTAGGCTTCTGCATTCATTGTTCCACCCACATTTGCTTTTGGTCCCACCCGCCGCTGGCATGTGGAAATGCAGCCCTCAGTCTGAAAAACCCTGAGCTGCGGAGTCAGAGACATGCTACCAACCTCCAGCTCTGCTAACAAACCTCTGATCTCATCCCTTCTCCTCCTCATCCTGAAATGTTAGTTGGTTCAAACAGAGGAAAATTTATTATATAGCTGAGGGATGGAAGAGCAGTTTTGGAAGCAGCCAACTCTGGGATAATATTAGCTAACAGTGTCCACTGGGAAGGCCCCAATGTCCCAAAAGCAATTTCTGAAGAGATCTCTGGCTTTGTTTGTTCTAGAGCGAGAAATGAAGGGAAATTTATTGAGGCGTGCGGAGAGAAGGAAGACTCCTGTAATGGCAGGAAAGAGCTGAGAGGAGTGAGGGATAACTCTATTTGATGAAGCCGTATTGCTCAGCATCCCCAGCACAGGCCCTCTAATTTTGCTTTAAATAAAAATGCCAGCTAAGTTTAGGCTGTTTTGCTGCAACCAGCAGGGTTCAGATTTCTTTTTCTTTTAAATGGAATCGCAACACACAGTATTCAAGCCATCTGTTCTCCTTCTTTTACCTGATGGTGTGGGAAAGGGCAAGGATCCCCAGGACAAAGAAATACATGGAGAGCAACAGGTTGATGTATTCTTGAGAGAATATCTAGAAGACAAGAAAAACCAGTCAGGTTAAACAGCCTGCTTTCTAACTATGCAACGTGTCAAAACAGAGGAAGAACAACCCGGAAGCATAATTACTGCTTTTAAACTTTCACATCTAAGCCACAAGGCTGTAATTTTGCTTTCTTTTAATTTCTGACAGATGTGAGCAGCTCTCCAGATGTTTAGGACTACAACTCCCATCAGTATGCGCTGACTGGGGCTGATGGGAGTTGTAGTCAGAAACATCTGGAGGGCACCAGGTTAGAGAAGGCTGTCTTATGCCAGACCAGGGGTCTGGGCATCATCTCTGCCCAGTCTCATTGCCCAGATCAGATGGTTTTCTTCTCCCCTAGGAGAAGTGTGTGTGTTCTTTTTCATGAATTTTCTAATAGCGCTGCCTCTAAAGGTTATTTCCGTGCTGGTTGGGAAGAAGTTCTTGACTGGAAAAACTCTGTGATAGTTACAATGAAAGCTTTCTAATGTTAGAACCAGTAACCAACTGTTCTTTGGTCACCTTGACCACTTTTGCAGTTGTTCCTCACAAAGGCCTCCATTCTCCTGACCTCCAACACAGCTTATCTGCGTATCTCTAAGATACAAATCCTGTGCGATGAACAAACAGTCACCCTGGAAATACCAATTGCCAGTCAGAATTATTCCATTTCCTTTCCTGCCGGTACAGGCTGTGATTGCCAGTTGCCCAAGGCTGGCTTTGTCTGGCAGAAATGCAGCAGGAATCCAGGAAGTTAACAATTTCCAAGGCCAATCCATCACGTCTATGACAATGACCTTTCTATTTCAGCAGGCATTTTATGACTTCAGGATCAATTTCAATTTCTTTTATCCACTGTATGTTTCCTGTAATCCAACTGTATACCCGATAGATATTCTGGTGATTAAGCGGTATGCAAACAGTTGGAATGAAATGAAACTATATATCCCACCACCCATTTCCACTTGAAATGGCTTAGGCAAGTGGTCACATGAAGGTGCCTTCTACAGCTCCATCTTACCCATGACATCTCCAGGATCTCTAGCAGAGGTGCTCAGCCTTCCTACTACCAGAGATCGGGGATGGGGAAGAATTCAGCACCAACCAGAATCCAGACTTCTGGTGGGAATGGAAGCATGTCCATTTCTGCACACCTTCCACACCCAGGGGTTTCCAGTGTCCCAAACAAGTAGATCAGCACCCACTCTGCATGCAACCAGATCAGAGGAGGCAATCTGGACCGGCACGGGGAACCATGCTAGGCCTCCGAGGTATTCTGGATGCCAGTCAGGAGAACAGCACTGGGGAAGTCTCCTCAGGCCTGGCGCACACTGCAAAACTCATTTGATGCTGCAATCCACTCTGGACTTTTACTGGAGCTAAATGGATCTATCTTCCCACTTCACCTAAACTTTTCAAAATGCAACTTGGTACCTGCTGCGTGTAAAGAAGACGATCTACCACTGTGCGAGGGGGAAGGGAAACAGGCAATGCAGCAGATCAGATCAGCTCCACTCTCTAGCCTTTCCAGCTAGTACTGGAGGCCCTGCTCTGTCCCATCCTGTGGGTGGTGAAGCTGATGAGCATGAGCAGGCATGGGCAAACTCAGCCCTCCAGATGTTTTGGGACTACAACTCCCATCATCCCTAGCTAAGAGGACCAGTGGGCAGGGATGATGGGAAGTGTAGTCCCAAAACATCTGGAGGGCTAGAGTTTGCCTATGCCAGAGCATGAGGTAGGGAGCCATCTTGGTGGTTGTGGAGCCTGGATTAACACACACACACACTGCCAAGCAGGGATGCACCGGGCACCATCTTTGCCTTTAGACAATGGATGGATTTTTTATTTATTTCGGCTAAATAAAGCTGCTGCTTCTTATTAATTTTGTCTAATCTGCCACTTTTAGATATTTCAGTTCTTTTAAAACATTATCCTGTTGTCTCCGTTGATTTTTCAATGGTGCTGCCTTTATCGTTCTATTACACTGCTTTTAATTCTGTGATTTTGTGTTTCATCCACTTTACCAAGTACATAGTTTTGGGAAATCCTGAATAGAAAGGCTGGATAAAATAGCTAAAAGCTGGAATTGTCCCCCCAGGATATTACACTGTTTGTACAAGTAGACCCTCCTCTTATGGAAGAGGCATACCCAGCCTTTTCAAAAGCTGGAAACCTTGAGCTGGCAGATCCAGGAAATGAAAAACCTTCTTCTACTAGCATCGGACAGCATCCACTTGTGTGTTTTTTTCTGCATTTTTATGATTTTCTGTGACCATTGGGGCACTCTGCTGTTTTTTAAAAAAAATTCTGGATTTGAATTTCTGTGTGCTGGGTGGCTGGGGGAACAGTTGGGGAGGGGTTTGCAAGAATCTGGAAGCTTGTGTGTTTTTTTCTGCATTTTTATGATTTTCTGTGACCATTGGGCCACTCTGCTGTTTTTTTAAAAAATTTCTGGGTTTGAATTTTGAAATGCTCTTTACAGTATGTGTGACTTTAAAGAGCACTTAATAAACTCTTGTTGTACCAAATTTGGATTTGTTTGGACTTTTTTTGACCATAGGAACGCATTAATTGATTTTCAATGTATTCCTATGGGATTTCGTGCTTCGCAAGACGAAAAATTCGCTAGACGAAAAAATTCACGGAACGAATTAATTTCGTCTTGCGAGGCACCACTGTATTGTGAACACTTTGGACAGGAAGGTTTCTGCCACTTTCCCCTCCCCAGGAGCGATTCTGCTTCCTCTGCACCCACAAAAGGGAGAGTTATTGGATTAGCTGTCAGCCAGCAGAAGACTGCAATAAGATCCCCAGTGGTTTTACTTACTTTGAAGAAGAGATAGAGGCCTAAGAGGGTGCAGCTGGCAACGATAGGAAAGCGGGCAGCATCTCGGCTGGTAATGGTCTCCGGCATATCCGAAGCATTCTAGAGGAAAAGTTGGTCAAATGTTAGCCCCTTAGGCCGGAAAGGATACCTTATTCAGAACTCTAGAAGCAAAGATATTAAGAATACAGTGGTACCGGAGCCCCGTTTGCATCCTGAGCAGAGCGCAACCCGCGTCTGCGCATCGTGATTCACCACTTCTGCACATGACGTCATTTTGAGCATCTGCGCATGCGCGAGTGACGAAACCCGGAAGTAACCCGTACTATTACTTCTGGGTCGCCGCGGAACGCAACCTGAAAATGCTCAACCTGAAGCTACTTTAATAATAATAATAATAATAATAATAATAATTTATTTATTTATACCCCGCCCATCTGGCTGGGTTTTCCCAGCCACTCTGGGCGGCTTCCAACAAAATATTAAAATACCGTAATACATCAAACATTAAAAGCTTCTCTAAACAGGGCTGCCTTCAGATGTCTTCTAAAAGTCTGGTAGTTGTTCTTCTCTTTGACATCTGGTGGGAGGGCGTTCCACAAGGCGGGTGCCACTACCGAGAAGGCCCTCTGCCTGGTTCCCTGTAACTTGGCTTCTTGCAGTGAGGGAACCACCAGAAGGCCCTTAGCGCTGGACCTCAGTGTCCGGGCTGAACCAAGGAGGGTTTAGACGCTCCTTCAGGTATACTGGACAGAGGCCGTTTAGGGCTTTAAAGGTCAGCACCAACACTTTGAATTGTGCTCGGAAACGTACTTTAACCCGAGGTACAGTGGTGCCTCGCAAGACGAAATTAATCCGTTCCGCGAGAGTCTTCGTCTAGCGGTTTTTTCGTCTTGCGAAGCAACCCTATTAGCGGCTTAACGGATTAGCACTATTAGCGGTTTAGCGGCTATTAAAGGCTTAAAGGCTTAGCGGATTAGCTGCTAAAAGGCTATTAAAGGCTAAGCGGATTAGATAAGGGGGGGGGAGCGGAAAAAAAATCTCAAGACTCGCAAGACATTTTCGTCTTGCGAAGCAAGCCCATAGGGAAATTCGTCCTGCGAAGCAACTCAAAAACGGAAAACCCTTTCGTCTAGCGGGTTTTCCGTCTTGCGAGGCATTCGTCTTGCGGGGCACCACTGTATTTCTGATGGTGTTTCCTGCTTGGCAGGGGGTTGGACTCGATGGCCCTTGTGGTCTCTTCCAATTCTATGATTCTATGATTCTATGTATGACTGTACAAGAAGAGCCTGCTGGAACAGGCCAATGGCCCATCTAGTCCAGAATCCTATTATTCCCTTAGATGCCTTTGGGAAACTAGCACGCAGGATTCAAGCACAAGAGCCCTCACCCCTTCTGAGGTTTCTAGCAACTGATATTCAGAAGCGCACCATTGCCGTCGTGGCTGGTAGCCTCTGATAGCCCTCTCCTCCACCAAGAATTTGTCCAATCCTTTTTAAAAAGCCATCTAAATTGGTAGCCATCATTGCCTCCTGTGGGAGCTATTTCCATTGTTTACCTATGCATTGCATGAAGGAGGACATTCCTGTACCTGTCTTGAATCTTTGGAGATTTAGCTTCACTGGATGTCCCCGAGTTCTAGTGTTACAAGATAGCCCATCAGCCTGGACAGTGACCAATGTGCTCTTCCCTATTTCCCACTGGAAGCAGAATAACTGCAATGTAGGGCAGATATTGCATCCACTTAACCACATCTGCTTTTACAGCCCTCAGGAAACTTGAGCAATGGGGTTGCCAGGCACACTCAGAGGCAAATTAGTTTCCCTATTGGAATGCGTCATATGGAAATTTGCTCTGATACACTCACACAAACACCTTTTTCATTGTTTTTCAGCTTCTTGTTCTGAAGACATTTTTGTGACAAATACCGTATTTTTTGCTCTATAAGACTCACTTTTCCCCTCCTAAAAACTAAGGGGAAATGTGTGTGCGTCTTATGGAGCGAATGCAGGCTGCGCAGCTATCCCAGAAGCCAGAACAGCAAGAGGGATTGCTGCTTTCACTGCGCAGTGATCCCTCTTGCTGTTCTGGCTTTTGAGATTGAGAATATTTTTTTTCTTGTTTTCCTCCAAAAACTAGGTGAGTCTTATGGTCTGGGTGCGTCTTATACAGCAAAAAATACGGTACCTTTCAATGGAGCGCTACATGGCCAGTTGAGGTATCAGCCTGCAATTATTTTGGCACTTTTTAATACGACAATGGTGGCTCAATCCACCTGCTCCTCAGAGTGGCTGGGGGAACCTGTTGTTATAGCAGACCTGAAATAGTCTGTGGACAGTCGGCATCCCTTCCAAAATTCAGAAACGGAAACTGAAGGAAGTTGGAAGAGAACAGGTTCCCCTTTTGTTTCCAGGCTCATAACTTCTGTGAGTATGTTTGCAAGGCTGAATTATACCACCCCTAAAGAAATTAACAGGTCTGACCATCTTGGGCTGGAGCCACCAACCGATTCCATGACTTTATTTATGCCAGTGCCCTCCCCACAGCTTCCAGCACTAAAACAACAGATGTTAATTATGTATCAGGTGAAGTATTTCTTTTTTTTAAAAAAACTGATTCCTGCCAGCCTCAGTGCACGAATCCAAGATTATGTATTTTTCTTTCTTATCTGCAGCCTACACAACATTCACAATTTCATAAAGGGAAACGTACAGAAAGGGGCGAATGTAGCATATGCAAAACATGAATTCTCTACAGAAGCAGCTCGTCAGCACACAGCTAGCCCCAACTGCCTGCCCAAGGAAGCACTCAAGCATCTAAGGAGGAGGGACATGCTCTCCACTTTGGCCCTGTTGCCTGCTAACACGTCAGTTGGCCTCCTTCCTTCCGTCCCAAGTTCTCCCCAAGGTGCACACTCAAGAGCAAAGGAACAAAAAGTCCTGTGCTAAATAGGCCAGCGCTACTGCATGTAGCAAAGTGAATCCTTTTTCAACTTGGAAAGGAAGAAACACTTGCTGGAGTGCATGCTTTTCACACACACACACACACACACACAAACACACACAGCCCCAGGAGATACCAAGGAAAGGAGACAGAACTGCTGAGGTAGACAATGCAAAGCTAGATGGGACCAATGGCCTAATGCAAAACTCAGGAGGCAGCAAGGGAAGGGTGCAAGAGGCAGGATGCTTTGGCTGAGATTCCTGCATTGCAGGGGGTTGGACTAGATGGCCTTCAGGTTCCCTTCCTATTCAACAAGTCTATGATTCTATGCTCTGCACATGGCCAGAAGTAAAAAGAAAAACATTAGACAGGGCACCTAATTGCAGCATGTGGGGAGAACACGCCATCACCACACTACATGTATGAAAAGAGGGCCCTGCTTTCTAACACAGGCATCAGCACACAGAATCACAGAACTATAGTTGGGCTATTCAGGTACTGGGAGGAAGCAAAGACGCCTGCTGCAAGCCGAAAGACTGGAGGGGGTGTCAGGGATTATTATTATTATTATTATTAATACCCCACCCATCTGGCTGGTTTTCCCCAGCCACTCTGGGTGGCTTCCAACAAAAGATTAAAAATACATTAAAACATCAGTCATTTAAAACTTCCCTAAACAGGGCTGCCTTCAGATGTCTTCTAAATGCTAGATAGTTGTTTTTCTCTTTGACATCTGATGGGAGGGCATTCCAGAGGGCGGGTGCCACTACCGAGAAGGCCCTCTGCCTGGTTCCCTGTAACTTGGCTACTCACAGTGAGGGAACCGCCAGAAGGCCCTCGGTGCTGGACCTCAGTGTCCAGGCAGAACGATGGGAGTGGAGACGCTCCTTCACGGAGTCCAAGAACACAAGAACCCCATGAACGTAATGTCCCTCTGCTCCCTCTTACCATGTGCTGCTATTCAGGGATAGACTCTCTCTGTGCACAAAGGCTCCACTTAGCCACCATGGCTAACCACGGCCAACGGCACCAACCTCCTTCACAAGAAACATGGAACCTGCTTTGATAGCCAAGCGGGCTCCCTCTGAAGGGGGTGGACTCTCTTCCACCTGAGGCATTTAAGCAGAGGTTGGACGTCCACCTGGCAGGGGTTCTTCAGCAGCCATTCCTGCACTGCAGGGGGTTGGGCTGGATGGTCTTCTGGGATCCCTTCCAGCCCTATGATTCTATGGGAAGCTAGTAAACCATTTACCCAAGTCAACCCTTTACCAAAGGTGTCGTGGGCTTTGAAGACACTCAAACTCAGGACGCAAGGGAGAAACGTGCTAAGAGGAAGGCACGCTTGGCAAACCCTCACCGTGATCAACTGCCACCTGGAAACCAATGTCCCCACTGTGGAAGGACGTGTGGATCCAGAATTGGCCTCCACCGTCACTTACGGACTCATTGTTAAAACCGTGTTTATGGAAGATAATCTTACTCGGCTACGATCTTACTCCCACCAGATGTCAAAGATAACAACAACTACCAGACTTTTAGAAGACATCTGAAGGCAGCCCTGTTTAGCAAAGCTTTTAATGTTTGATGGATGACTGCATTTTATTTTTGTTGGAAGCCGCCCAGAGTGGCTGGGGTATAAATAATAATAATAATAATAATAATAATTACGAGTGATCGCCAGAGAAGAAAAAGTCAAGCCATTAGGTCCACCTGGCCCAGTACTGCCTGCACTGACTGGCAGCTGCTGGATGGACCTGCAGGCGGGGGATCCTTCGCAGCCCTACCTGGAAATACCGTTTTGGGTGTGCCCTGAGCCGGGGGCCCGTTCTGCATGCCAGGCAGATACCCTCTACCCCCCGAGAGCTGCGTCTCCCCCTCATCCTGCTCCACAAGCCCCCCTCATGTCTCGTGGAGTTCCGCCGGCCCCTGGCGGGCGCGGGCCGCGACCTCCCGCCTCGGAGCGGGAGAGGGTCCTGCCCTGGCCGCCCCCCTCGCCCCTTCCCCCGCCTCACCTTCCCCTTCGCGCAGGAGACGGAGCGCAGCGCCCCGAAGAAGATGGGCAGCAGGGCCATGAGCACCAGGCTGCCGTAGGCCAGCGCCATGCCCTCCGGAGTGGTGGGAGGCCGAGCCCCGGCCGCCCCGGCCGAGGAGGCGTCGCCGGCCCCGCTCCCGTTGTGCGCCTCGGCCTGCTCCATCGTCTCCAGTCCCCAACGCAGTCCGCACTTCCGGCCCGGCGGAGGCGGCCTCGGCGGCGCCCAGGGACACGTTCCCTTAAGGAGCCGGAAGTGCGTCGCGGCGCGTGCGCGGGCGGCGGGCGGAGGCCCCGCCCCTTGGTTACGGCGCAGGGCCTCCCCGTTGCTAAGGGAACCAGGCGCCCGGGCCTGCATCCCGCTTTGGGGGGGAGGGGAAGGGAAGGATGCTGAAGGCCCCTCTCTCGCCTCCTGTCTTCCGTTTATCCACGGGTTTATTTTCAGTTATTGTTGTTATTATTGCAATTAATATTTATGAATTGGGAGAAAAGCAATGACAAACACCTAGACAGCATCTTAAAAAGCAGAGACATCACCTTGCCGACAAAGGGCCCTATAGTTAAAGCTATGGTTTTCCCAGTAGTGATGTATGGAAGTGAGAGCTGGACCATAAAGAAGGCTGATCGCCGAAGAATGGACTGCATTAATAATAATAATAATAATAATAATAATATTTTTTTATTATTTATACCCCGCCCATCTGGCTGAGTTTCCCCAGCCACTCTGGGCGGCTCCCAATCAAATGTTAAAAACAGAACAGTATTAAATATTAAAAACTTCCCTGAACAGGGCTGCCTTCAGATGTCTTTTAAAGATAGGATAGCTGATTATTTCCTTCACATCTGGTGGGAGGGCGTTCCACAGGGCGGGCGCCACTACTGAGAAGGCCCCTGGTTCCCTGTAACCTCACTTCTCGCAATGAGGGAACAGCCAGAAGATCAAACCTATCCATTCTTAAGGAAATCAGCCCTGAGTGCTCCCTGGAAGGACAGATCCTGAAGCTGAGGCTCCAAGACTTTGGCCACCTCACGAGAAGAGAAGACTCCTTGGAAAAGACCCTGATGTTGGGAAAGATGGAGGGCACAAGGAGAAGGGGAGGACAGAGGATGAGATGGTTGGATGGTGTTCTTGAAGCTACCAGCATGGGTTTGAGCAAAGTGCGGGAGGCAGTGGAAGACAGGAGTGCCTGGCGTGCTCTGGCCCAGGGGGTCACGAAGAGTCAGACACAACTAAACAACTAAACAACAACAATTTATGAATTGTATAAAAACACACTGAACACATTTATTAAATTTGTAAAAAATAAACTGTTACTATCATTATTATTAATATGATTTATTAAATGTATACAGCACTCTTCCTTCCAATAGCACAGCGCGGTTTACTGTATAAAAGCAACCGCAGCAACCATCCCAGAGACCTCTCTCACAACCCTACTTTAAAACATGCAAAAGTTCAAGTATTAAAACAGATTAAAATTAACTTGACTTTCTAAGTATCTGCGCAGGCTTGTCTAAGCAATGATGTTTTTAGCAGGTAGCGGAAAGAGAGCAGGGAAGGCGCCTGCTTAATCTCAAGAGGCAGGGAGTTCCAAAGTGCTGCACTAAACAATAGGCTTATAAAAAGCGAAACAGGTATTCTGTGGCACCTGCAAAAGTGCCAGTTTCACCAATCGAAATAGTCAATTGGGAACGTGCAAGGCAAGGAGGACTCATCCACACTGCCTAGTTTTTTCTTTCTTTTTTAATAAGAAAGAAATCTGTCCCTAATAATTGAATTTGGAAGGCTGTGTTGCATTCTGTATACAGTGCACAGTTCTAGCCACCCAGGCACAAAAAGGTATTGTGGAGGTATTAAAATTTGGAAAAGTGACCCCAAAATATTTAGTAGGCTCTTGTGTGGGGTTCCCAAACTGTGGTCTGTGAGCTTCATTCCAGGGGGCCTGTGGTGTGTCTGGTTTTGTGTTGGAGGCCGGAGGTGGCGCATTCATCACGTTAAATAATTCTCAGTGCGTTTTTTGTTACTGTATTTTCATTGCTTCTTTTATTTCCTATATTGCATTTTATTGCATCACAATTTGAGTTCTGTGTAAGACAAATTGAATAAAATGCAATGCAATGTGTAAGATATAAAAGAAGCAACAAAATTACACCCAGCAGTAACCATAGTGCATTAGAATTACTACAGCAGACAGAAAACATGTCTGCCGAGACCTTCAGCAATTTTCAAGTGGGCTGTAGAGAGAAAAAAAGTTTGAGAACCGCTGCTCTGAAGCATCTTCCATAAAAGGAAAGCATGGTGTGTTTGGGACCTCCTAGTTTTGCTTTTCAATTTTTAAAAAGGCGGTTGATGGAGGTGTATCAATTTAGGCATGGAGTAGGGAGAGAACAACGCAGAAAATTCAGTGCAGGCAAAGAAATAAGCAAGCTTTTTCTCTTGGCATAGTTAAGTTTTAGTGTACTTCTGCATGTTGCTTCTACACATGTTGCTTGGCTAATTTATGGAATGTCCTCTCACAAGATGTGCTCATAAGCGCCAGCCTAGATGGCTTTAAAGTGGAATTTGACAAATTTGTGGGGGAATCAGTCTGCTAATGGCTATTGGTTGTGATAGCTATACCTCTATATTCGAGCAGGATGCCAATGGTGGATGGTTCCTGACTTTATGTTCTACATATCTATAGAAGGCTCTGACTGGCCAGAAACAGGATGGTGGACTTGTCCAATAGGGCTTTTACTTTTACACATGCACACAAATTTCATGTATCGAGCAAAGCTTCACTAGTCTGGTCTTTAAGGTGCTACAATGCACTAATCGCCATTTTTCAGCCGATCAGTGTGGGACTGAATTGTAGGTGTCCTGAGCAAATTTGGTCCAAAATCTGTACCTGGAACTGCAAGCTGCAGATGGGTTAGGGCAGTGGTTTTTCCACCAAGAACTGCTCTCCTCTGTCACTTGACACAAACACACACACACAGGGCTGTGCTTGTGTCTGATCAGCTCTGCTGGAGCCTGAGAAAGACGGAGACAGAGATAGGAGGAGCTGATGAAAAAGGACAGTTCTTGTGAGGCATCTGATCAAAATCTGCTTTGAGCTTAAAAAATTATATTTGTAAATATATTTTTCTCTCATGCAAGGGAGAAGAGCAGCTGAATACTTTGGCAGCTGTTCAAGGGCCCCACTGCTATAAATAGCAGTATTTCAAGGTTGTAAAAGGAAATTAGAGCCAGAGAGCAAAAGGTCACACTGACCAGAATACAATCAAGCTGTAAAAACACAATTAAGAACTGGTAAATAGTGAAATTTATTGTTTAACAGAAGACTCGAGCCATAAGGTTAAAGGTTAAATGGAAGAGGTTGCTCTTAGAAACAGCTGCTGGATAGGGAAAAAGGTTTCTTTATAGAACTTAGGAACTTAGCTTTCACTAAGTTCCTTCTAATTTGAAAAGGCCTTTCCTTCTAAAAATCTATCTATGTTATGTATGAAATATATTGGCTTAAATGTAATTATGCAAAGGATTTAGAAAGTAAGAAATGTTAGATTCTTATGTTAGATTCCTATTATGGTGGGTGAGAATGTGAACTCAAGATCTCTTTAAGATAAAAAAATTAGAAACCATGCACCATCTGCTTTAGCCATCTGGTTTGCGGTGAATAGGGCAACAGGGGCCAAAGGTTATCTGGTAATTGAGGTGCCTGGTCGAGGTAAATGTAAGATATATGGCTACTTGTCTGCCATTTATGGATACAAGGAAATATAGCTTTTGTCTCCCATAAAAGGGAATAGGAAATGGGTGTATCTTTTATGATTGGTTCTAGCAAACAACCAATAGGAATTTCAACCAGGCTGATTGGACAGAGGCAGCCAAAGGAGGAGCAAGGGGGCTGGGCTGAGGAAATATAAGTGCTGGCCATCAGGGCTGGAGTAGGCAGAGCTTTGGTATCCATATACCACTGTGTCTCTCATTTATTTGTCTGACAAATAAATTATTATTTTAATTTCTCTATTGCTGCGTTGAATATTTCATTCCAGCTAAGCGTTAACCACAAGCAGGGTGCTACATTTTATGGTGCCTCTGTGACTCGGATAAGTGGTCTGCTGGAACGCAGCCCCTTCGCCCTAGCGGGCAGGGTACAAGAGGGAGGACCACTGACCGCTTACCCAGCGCGCACTGGAACATTTTTCCAGGGGAACGCAGAAGTCTCGTCTGTCTGATACCCTGCTCACTGGCGGCGACGGACCGGGGGTAACCAGAGAAATAAACAGGGAACCAGCTAAGGGTAAGTGCACAAAGGGGTTGTGGCCCTCCAATTAATTGGGAGGAAGAGAAGTCTTGATCAAACTTCTGCGTCTCAGTAAGGGGGACTGAGTACGCTAGGTGGTTGGGTACATCAGATGGTGGTCTGGTGGAGGGAAAAGGGAAAGATTGGGAGGTAGAGTGTGGTGAAGTATCCAGCGCATTGTATGTGTGAGAAAGTACAATTTGTAGCTGACCTGAGTGTGGAGTGGGTAGTACTTCGGTTCCCGGTAAGGCGACTTCATCCGGGCAAGGATCCCCACGAAGCGTGTGTGTGAGTGACTGAGTGGATACTTCACAGGGCCATACAATGGGAGTTGGAGGTTCAAAGGGGGAAATACACCTCTTGAATGTATGTTAAATAATTTTAAGAAAGCCTTCTCAGGAGCATATGGAGTCAAAATGACGCCAGAGCGCTTGAGAACGTTATGTGAATTAGACTGGCCAAAACAAAATACTGGATGGCCACCTCAGGGAAGTTTTGATATAAATTTAGCAAGCAAACTTTGGTCTAACATCACCAAAGAAACTGGAGGGTGCCCAGAACAATTTTCATATATAGATTCTTGGCTGAGCACATTAAATAATAATCCTCCATGGATAAGGGAATGCAAAGTCCAACAATGCAAATTATTGGCAGTAAAAGCCGAAGCTAGAAAAGGAATCTTGCCAAATAAACTCAAACCCATTTTTGAGGGACCAGAGGAAGAGGTGCTTCCACCTCCACCCTATGCTCCACATCGAGGGAGCCTAATCCAAACACTCCACCAGTTGTAACCCCAAGGCAAGAAAGTGGAAGGAATAATGGGGCTGGAGTCAGAGAGCTTGATTCCTTGATAGATTATGATAAATATCTTCAGGAGGCATTGGAGTCCTATAATAAAGCCCAAGCAGAAGTGGTTATTCCACCTGTGAGTCCCAGTAGAACTCCATCTACAGTCTCCTTTAGTGGAACAACTGATTGCCCACCC